GTTACTCAACTTTGCCCCAGAATGAGTCCACACATTCACGAGCTACATCCACCTGTCTGCAGGTATTGCTCTCTGCTTTCCCGTGCATTTATTCCTATAAGGTTCTACAGTGGAAGGTGGAAGAAGACTCTTTTCTGAGCCCAGCACCTCATACGGGATACCCCATATAGGAGTCTTCACAAGAAATATATGGGAAAGCTGACCCATGATTACTGGAGTTATAATTATTCATGTCATGAGGAATCCCCAAAAACTTTACTTTCACTAATATTTTTCATTTTCTTCCCAGCCTGCACATGATCCTCATCTCACCTTCTAATTGAAGGTGTTAATGAGGATAACAACACACTCATCTGGGTGTCCTTTCTAGGCTACTCTCTGTTAACAAACAAGTGGACCAGCCAAGATGAAGAGAGAAAGAAACCAGGCTCTGGAACCCAGGACATGGCGTTGTAGAGTGAAGATGTGGCTGCCTTCCGCTAGCGTGCCTAGCTTCGCAGGCCTGCCTTTCTTCCTTCCATCCCTGATCACAGGTCCCAGGCATCAGAAACCAGGTCCCTACCATCTTCTTCTTGGTGAATTCCATCACCATCTGGTCTGCCAGCTTCTCTTGAGCCAGTATCTCTGCTTTCTGCTTCTGGTTTTCGTCATTGATGCGCTTAATCTCGGCTTGCATCTTCAGTTTTTGCAGATGCCTCCGTTCCATGTCCTGCCAGCAAAAGGAAGAAAGCCTCAGAGTAGAAGGAGGCAAGACAGAAAGCTACTGGTGTGTAGGAATAGAGAGACAGTGACAGAGGCAGGGAGACGAATGGCAGTCTAGCTTCCATCACTATCCTTCTTTAAAACTGTCCTGTCAAGGGTTGTCAATGACCACTTCTACCAACAGGCCTCTTTACAGTCTTCATCCAATTTGATTTTGTGGCAGCCCCTGGTGCTGTTGATCTCCATGCACTTTCAGGAAGTGCAGGCTCTTAAGATACTACTCAGCATCTCCCACATGTCATGCTGAATCCCATCCCTGTGGCTTTGCTCAGGCTGCCTCCCTGCTGCCTTCAATTTCCTTCTCCTATTTAAACCCAAACCTTCAATCTTCATTCAATAAATATTGCCCTTATTGAGTACTTTCTGTTCATTGGACACTTTATATAGACTATCTCTAATTCCTAAATCTGTCCAAAAGCCCTGAAAGGTAGGCCTTGTTAACTCTCTTGTGCAAATGAAGAAACGGAGGCCCAGCATGTAAATGAGTTGCCCAAGGCCACACAACTAATAAACTCCAAAGCCAGAATTTTGAAACCTTTTCTGTCCAAATTAGAGCTCCAACCTTCTCTAGAAATCTTACTTGATTGCCTCAACTTGATTTCAGTTCTCTCTCCACTTCTGAATTCCCTGAGCATTCAAAGTAGTGCCACAGCTCTTGGGAGGTGATCATATACTGCCCTGTGGGTCCCCTCACTTCATGTATGTTCTCTCCATCCCAGCTGGAGGACAGGGACTTATGCCATGCTTTCTCTCTTCCTCAACAACGTTTAGGCCATTGGGAGGAAAACAGTAAATACTCAATACACTAAATGAGGCAGGGAAGGGGGAACAAAAGTGACTGGCATGTGAGAAAAAGGAAAAGAGAAAAAGTCTCAAACACAGAGAAACGTGTCGTAGGCCATTGGGAGGAAAACAGTAAATACTCAATACACTAAATGAGGCAGGGAAGGGGGAACGAAAGTGACTGACATGTGAGAAAAAGGAAAAGAGAAAAAGTCTCAAACACAGAGAAACGTGTCACTGTGAGTGATGGAGATCAGAGTATCAATGTGACTCTGAGTGGCAAGACCCTTTCTAAGGAACAAGCCCCTGCCTTCCCAGCCCTGAGCCTTCAAAAGCTTCCAGTGGTCAGACCACTTCTGAGTCGAGCATGTTCTCAGATCACAATGTAGAAAGGCATTGGAACCTCGTGCAGCTGTCCCCTCTATCACGCTGATCAGCCTCAGACCCCTTGCCTCAAACTCTTCTACCCATCAAGTCACCCACCTCTCACACTGTCTCCAGCTCCTTCCATTTCTTCAAAGACTAAATCCCCCCCTGGCCTTCCAGCTCCTGCTCAGCTCGGCTTCTGCTCTGGTTCATCCAGCCAAGGCAACTCTGTGTGTCCACCTCTAGGGCCAGTTCTCCGCCAGCTTGGCTCACTGCCCAGCTCAGGGATCCCTCCTTCAGGAAGCCTTCCAGACAGTTCAGCACAGCAACTGTCTGCCTCGCAGGGCCATGTGGCACATGAGTCACAGTTATGCGCATTCTCACTCTTACATGGTGCTTATGACTTGCTCGCTCCACTTTTCTTCTGCCCCTCTGCCTCTCACCCTCCTTTCCCCCCTTCTCCCTTCTTCCTTTTCTTTCTAACTTCTCACCAGTTTTAGTTCTGCTACTTTCCCAGGCACCATTTAATCTCTTGACCCTCAAAGCTAAAGAAGCTACTGACCTCTGAATTTACTACATACACAATCATCTATTTATTTACTTACTTCTTTACCTACTTATTTACTTTTTGATTTGTTGTTTTTTGTTGGTTCATTTTATTTCCAAGAATCCGAAGGACTTTCCCTGTTTCTCATCTCTGAAGCCCTTCCAAAGCAACCCCAGATAAATTCACTTCACTCTTCTTCATCTTGCTAGCAAGGTGGGAAAAGCTGCTCTTTGAACCACGCCAAGATGAAAAGGCAGGTCTAAAGCTGGGGAGGCACAGGTTTCTACCTAAAATTGCCTAATAATACTTCCTGGAGACTCAGGGAATGCCTATTAGAAAGACATTAAAAGGACAATGACACAACATCAGTGTGATGGTGTTGACTCACTGACTCCTGGAACTTTCTCAGTGAACCAACCAATTCCCACTCCCCACAATCTAGGTGGATTCTCCAGTCTATTTCTCACCCTCTGCGTTGCATATTTGCCCTATATCTCTCCTTCCTGGCCTTTTCCACTCTGTCTCTCCTGAGCCAGGAACTAAAGTAATTTGGCTAGGTTTCTCTGTCTTTTTGGCCCTGTTGGCCCCAAGCAGTTGACAAGGCTACGTGCCCCTTCATCTTCCCCACCTATCCAGGTAATCTTTATTCCACTCCTCAAGCAGATCCTCACACTCTGAGAAGCCTTCATAATTATAAGTCCGCCCGCCCAACTATGGGATCCTTAAGGTCCCCTCCTCATCACTCATATCATCAAATGCATTGGCGGATGACAATTCCTCATCCATAAATATGGGAGAGGGTGAGAAAAATAAAAGAATATGTGTTTCACAAGTTAAACAGCACCATGAGAAAACAATCAGACAAATCCAGAATGCAGGACATTATTTAAGGCAACTTGTCTGAATGCTCCAAAATATCAGTACTATAAAAATGAATGAATGAATGAGAAAACTCTTCTAGATCAAAACAGACTAAAGAGATTTAACCAAATGCAATGTGCAAACCTTGATTGGAGCCTGTTTGGAAAAAGAAAACAGCTGAAAATACATCTTTGAAACAATTGGGGAAATTTTAATGTAAATTAAATGTTAAACAATATTCAAGTATCATTGGATTAGAGTTTTTGACGGGTTATGTGATAATAGTATTGTTGCCAGGTACAAGGGTGTCCTTGTTCTTCAGAGATGCAGACTGAAGCATTTAGTAGCAAAGCATCAAGATATCTGCAGCTTATTTTCAAATAGTTTACCAATAAACGAAATATGTATATATACCTAGAAAGAACAAACAACTAACGCAAATTGTTAACAATAGTTAAATCTAAGTGAAGAGCTTATGGGTATGGTACAATCCTTTTAACTTTGTGTGTAAAATTTTCAAAATGAAAAAATTGAAGAAAAAAAAGGAATAAATGTTCCAAATGCCAGCCATGCTAGGGGCTTTTGTACATTGCAACAGACCAGCCAAAGGAAATAGACGAGGGTTTTTTAAGTCTACTTAGTTTGGACAGGTATGTCATCATTTCTTTTGCAATAGTTATGCCTACTAATTTTATTTAGGCTAACAGGAAGAAAAGGTTTGGCTTCACAACACAATTAACGACAAGGGGATGCTATGTACTTTGAGTGAGGTAACAGCAGGGAGCCTAGAACTAAGATGCTGCTACTGTTCATCTACAAAGTGTACACGATCCCTAGATAATTGGAGGAAGACTGTAAAACATCCCTGTGTTTATTTGTGCAAAGCATGCCGCCATTCATTTCCTTTATATGTCCAGTCACATTGATATGTCAGTCTTGAGCCCTAAGTCCCTGGGAGGCAGGGACAATATCTATCCAAATCACTGCTCATCACCCACCACAATGTCTTGGCCAAATAAATGTTTAACATGGCAATAAAAATTTGGTGGTGATGATGTTGTAAAATGAGCATATGCCTGACAGAAAATGTCAACACCCTGAAACCCCAAAGTCTTGGAGGGCTTTGTTACTGTCACTGGTGCAACTTGGCATTATCTGTCCAGCCCTGTTACCCTCAGGTCCTCCTCTTGGAGCTGTTGCATGTACTCCAGCATCTGTTCCTTCTCCTGCTCCCGCTGCTCAGCAAGCAGAGATCGCTCCTCCCGGTTCTTTTCCATCTGTTCCACAATGTGCCGTCTTCCTCTGGGAGGGAACAGTGCCACAGTGTCTTAGAAACCAAGTCCATATCTCTGTGCTTCAACCTCCACCCAAATAACCCCCAAGATGGGAGGTATCACAGGAACAATTTGACAAGTGCCCCTTCAACATCGATATGCTTTATGGGCTCAGACCAAAGTCCAACCCCAGAGAGCTCTAGGCGGGGTAGACCCTCTTTCTTCTGAACTTCTGGTTCTGGGGCTCATCCTTCCTGAGATTCCCCTTCTTCCTTTGTTTTCCCAAGAGTGCACCGTACATCATAATACACCTTCTCTCTTCCAGAATGTAAAGAGTTTCTGAAATCCTACCACCTCCCAAGTCTTTCCAGAATAATCACAAGAAGCTAGCTTTGTAGAGCTTCACAGAGTTAAAAAGAGCAGGACTTCTAATTTCTCTAATGCTTCTGCTGTCACCCAATTTATCCTGTCTTCCCACCCCACCTCCCATGCCTAGTGTGGTAACTGCCTTTCTTATATCCTCTCTCACATATGAGGACTTCCAATAGACAGGGCTGAGTCTGAGGTGGAGAACCTCCACTCAGCAATGCCCTCGCTGCTGTCACCCAATTTATCCTGTCTTCCCACCCCACCTCCCATGCCTAGTGTGGTAACTGCTTTTCTTATATCCTCTCTCACATATGAGGACTTCCAATAGACAGGGCTGAGTCTGAGGTGGAGAACCTCCACTCAGCAATGCCCTCACTCAACAGTGAAAAGCAAGGAAACTGGCTTCTACGATCAGTGTTGCCAGTGACTCCCTATGTGCTACTGGATGTCAATAAACTTGGAAGCATCTGGACCCCATGATATACAAGTAAAGCCTAGAGGAATGGGAGAAGACACAGACTAGGATAAGAACGAAGGGGAGGGAGTATGAGATTCACATTCGGATAGATCACTTGAATCACTTCATGACTCCAGATGAAATGGGAGTAATGAGTAAAAAGGGTACAGGGAAAGAGTCTGGGCTCAATATAAGGATGAGCTCAAATCATTAGAGCTGCCTAATGAGGCAGAGGTTTCCCTTCGTTGGAGCTGTTTTGGAGAAGATGGATGGCCACTTACCCACTAAATAAACTTTTACTGGTAGCCTACTACCTACAGTCAACCGGGTACCTCCTAGAAGTCCAGAGATGAATGGTTCAAGAGAACAGAATACAGTTAGAGAGTTTAAACTGCCATTCAGTGCAGTACAAGGACTATTTATAGAGGCAATTCATGCTTTGTATGGTTGGTGTTCTAAATCTAGGACACTATGATTCAATGATTTAGCTGCTCTGGGACTTGTCCCTTTCTGCACAATGAAGAGAGGATTGAATTTATTCATTCTAACATGAATTAAGCACCTACGACAGGTGAAATACTGTGCTAGGCCCAGGGGCTGCAGAAATGAGTGAGTCAGGACCCTGTCCTCAATGAGCACACAGTCTAGCAAGGGTCAGAGAGCTGCAACTCAAGAAGTGGTGTTCTGGAACAAAACACCAAGTGGTGGGATCAGAGCAGGCAGCCACAGGGCCAGCCCATGGCTCACTCATGAGAGTGCGGTGCTGATAACACCAAGGCCACGGGTTCGGATCCTATACAGGGATGGCCGGTTGGCTCATTGGCTGAGCGTGGTGCTGACAACACCAAGCCAAGGGTTGAGATCCCCTTACCAGTCATCTTTTTTTTATAAAAAAAAAAAAAAGAGCAGGCAGCCACAAAGCCTCCTGATGATGTGAGGGAGGTTTCTCAGGGAAGGGGACAGCTAAGCTACACACTAACAGAAGGAGAAAGCATTTTCCAGGGGGGAAAGGAAAGAGTATTCGAAAAGGAGGGAACAATGCAAGTCATAAACTGTGACAAGGCCTGGCATGCTGGGAGAATAAGGGAAAGCACAGAGTGGATGGCAGCGAGTGGAAAGATGTGAGGCTGAACTGGGGCCAGATTATGAAGCACTTGTCATGATCTTGGAAGTGAGCTTTAAAAAAAGTTCTGTGATCCTATGTATCCCTTCATAAAGTTTTTGAGATAATAATAGATGGTGATACTGGCTGTTCTCATCTCAATCTTTGCTAGGCTATGTGGACCTAAAGGCACATGGAAATGACTTAGAGAAAGAGATGCCAAAACCACATCTTTACCGTATCCTTTCCTCCCTCCTCTTCCTGTCTTGTTCCTCCTGCCTTTGAATGGATTTCTGCCGCTCCACTTCCATCATCTGATCCAACCGCTTCTCCTCTGTATCCAATTCTTTTTGGATCTGCCGCTTCTCCAGGATCTGGGCATCCCGGATAGCGTGGCATTTGGCATTGAGGATGATCTGGGGAGTGGAGATAAAATTGTGGGACTGGGTCTGGGGTAAGGATAGGGAGGGATGCACTATGAGGACATGGAAGTTTCGGGGGGATAAATGAGAGCAAAATATTACTGAGTGTGCTGGGGATGCCCATGGCTGCTCACAAGCCCACAGAAGCTGGAGCAGTCTTGCCTTTACCCTTCCCCTTAATATAATTCAGCTCAAACATTTACTGGACTCCAACTAGATGCTAGGGTTTGTGCAAGGAGAGGCCCAGAATAGCATCTTTCCGGATATTGTGTCTTAGTATTTGGGGGATAATGGATCACCTTTTGGGAATATGATGACAGCTATGAGCCTGCTCCTCCATAAAATTCACTTACATATATACACACAGAATTTCCATAAAACTTCAGAGGTTCGTGGGTCCCACATAGGGACCCTAAGCTAAGACACCCTGTTCTGCTCCTCAGGAAAGCTGAGACACTCTTGAAGAGGCAAGGCCACTAGATTTTTAAGCTGGAAGAGCATAATATTTCACAAAAGGGGATGAAAAACCATGGGCCCAACAATAAGAAAGAACCACTAAGTAAAAGCTTTGGAGAATAAAAGGAGATATAAGTAGAGAAGATTTACCTGAGAGGCAGAAATCGAAGATGAAGGGGTTGGAGAGTCAGTATTTTTTTATTTGCTCAGGAGGTGAGCCACATGCAAATGAGTCACAAAATAGAATTCAAATGAGCCTTTGCTCTTTATGCTCTCAGCTAAAGGTAGCATTTTGGGCACTTCAAAAAGCGATCAATTGCCTAGACCACCACCGTATGTGGCCAGAACTGAACTAGCAAGATAAAAACAAAAGTAATGCCCTCACATTTTTTATCAATCCACAGCTCATTTAATCCTGTCAATAATTCTGCTAAGTAGTGGTACCACCCTCATTTTACAAATAAAGAAAATGAGGTTCAGGGCGGGTGAGTGACTTGCTCAAGGTCACACAGCAAGCAGGTGGCAAAGACAGTCCTGCCTCTGATCACAGCAACTACTGTAGCAGGTATAGCTCTCCCCAACCCCTACCCCTGCCAGCCCCTCGCCTTTCACCTGCCTTGCCCCGAGTCCAGCTGGAGACAACACCATCCAGTGTATGAATGAGAGGAAGGAGGAGGGAGCTGCAGTGAGTTGCCAGAAGGAGAGAAGAGATGAGAAGACCCACCTTGCTCATGTTCTTGAGCTCCTCCTCCTGCTCCATCCGCAGCTTGTTGGCTCTCTGCAGGAGGTTCTGGGCCCGCTCTTTGGCCTCCTCCTCCAGGTCACTGAGCTTCTTGTTGCTCCTCCACACCATTTCCTTCTGTTTCATGATCTTCTTGCGTGTCGTCACAGCATCCTAAGGGAGATCAGTCTGAATCAGTGGGGGATTATTCCCATGCTCTATGCCCTGGGCACTAGCCTGGCTACCGCAGATGACCCAATATGGTTTTGCCTCAGCCCATCCTGCCATGAGACCCAAGAAGTTCCCCAGCCTGGCTTCATTCTCAGCCCTCCCCCAGCCCCAGGTGCTTCCACAACTCAGGAATTTCCCTCTGTTCGTTATCCTGCAACATTTCTTCCCCAAACACACATTCACACCTTGTTTCAGGGTCCCCTAACAAGAGTCCCTACTCTCATGAGAAGCTGGCCTCTCTCCAGCACACTTCTACTCTGTCCCGTGTCTGCAGAGTTCGAGGCTTAGGGAGGTTAACTACCATGATGGCTTCCTTCTCCTTCTTGAAGGCCTGCTCCCTGGCCTCGATTTCTTCTCTGGTCAGAACATGAGATGCCCATTTGATTCGCTCAAACTCCTCAGGGCTGATGATTAGGGATTCCCCCGAGGGGTCCTCTGTGGGGACACTGACACAGGAATGAACAGAGTTAGGGAGGGGAGAGAGAGAAAGCACTTGGCACCACACTTCAGGATCCTCTGTTCTCTTCCTCTCCCCACATCATGCCAACCCTCTGGCATGGCCTCAGCCAATGACAGGAGAGATGGCAACTGTGCTCAGGGCCCACTAGGGAGAAGGGGCTCTAAGTGAGGATCAGGTAGCATTGCAGGTTAAAAAGAGATCTTTTACATTCTTTTTCTATAAGGTCTAACTCATATGTTACCTTCTCTGTGCAGCTGTCCAGGACCGTCCCCCGTGTTCACACATACCCACCCCCCACACACACCAAACTCAATAGATCACCCCCTCTGCTGAGCCCCCACCGCACTCTGTTCTTACTGTATGCATCATGGCCAACTGTGCAGGGCCTGTTTCCTTTACAAGCCCCTTCAGGACATGGGCTCCATCTTAACCATACTGGTAGCCTAGTCTCTGGCATAGTGCTTGGCACAGAGTGAGGACTCAAAACAAAGCTGGTGAATTGAACTTCAAAAATAGATTATTCCTCAACGATAACATAAAAAGGGCAAGGGGACGCCAGATGAGGTTGAAATGGATGCTAGTGAGAAACCTAAGCATCCCTTGTCCATTCAGCCGAGAGAGAAGCTTTGAACCCTAAATATTAATTAAAATCTCTGATCAACAACAGTCAGAGACATGTCTATAGACCCCTCCTTTCTAGCTGCCCAACGCATTCAACAAACCAATAGCTAATTATAATGATTACAAGCAAATGACATACATTAAAGATGGGGGAAGGAATACTTGGGGGGTGGAAATAAAGCTGCTTCTGGGTGAGGCAATTTAACAGGTACATGACAATAAGACGCAGACAGTCTGAGACAGGAAGTGAAACCTCATCTAATAAAACTAGTGTGTGTCGGGGGGGAGGTGTCCAGGTGGTAGACAGAATGAGTGAGTAGATTTGGGGATTAGCCAAGATCTCATGGTTCACCTAGCCTGGGATCTGGAGTGACCAGGAATGATCTGAATCTGTGACAGCAGCCCTGAAAAAAAAAACCAGCCATTTGACCTCCCATGTGTCTTCAGGACTAGACCACTCCAAGAAGGAAGCCTTTCTCAGGCCCCAGGAGTGGCTGCAGGGCTGCTGATCATGTCTGGCCATTTGATGCTGGGCCTGAACAGACAGTACTCAATAAGGGGCTGCAGGCAAGCCCAGCTCCTGAGCTGTGACCTGGCTGTGCCCCCCAAGCACACATGGCATAGGCAGCATTTTCTGGGAATTCAAATTTTTAGCAGGTAGAGCCAGAACAGGGAGAACAGTTGCAGAGAGTGAAGCCCTAATGTAAGAGCTGAACCACTGAGCACAGTGTCAGCTCACTGCATGTTGCTGAGCTCAACCTAAACCTCACAGGAGGGGCCCGAGCAAGAGGGCAGCTCCAGTTAGGAAGCAGGGCTGAGCTAATCCCAATGGAACCCAAGGAGCTCCTATGAATTTCCTCCTATCGTCTCAGAGTCTGGGAAGAAGCCAGGGGCTAATTAGGCATCTGTTCAGTTTCCCTTTGCTTCAGATTCTTAATGCAGCCGAAAGGAAGTGACTCATCTGGATCACTTCTCTTTACCAACTGCACTAATGGGGACTCAGAGAGGACCCATAAGCACCTCCCCTCTACCAGTCCCTCAGATCCCACAGACAGCCAGAAGAAAGGGAGGAGAAAGGAGCTGGGAATAAAAGGCAATGGCAATAATAGATACACAAGGGGAGAAAAGAAAGAGGCCAAGACGAAGAAGAAAAAACAAACCATGAAACAAAAAGGGAAATATGAATAGGAAAGTGGGGATTGGACTGACAGAATGAACGCAGGTGGGCTTCCACACCTCCCTGCAAAGACCCTCAGCAGAAGTGCAGGCTGCACAAGGGAGGACAGGGGACAGTGCACTGGCCACTCACATGAGTTGTCGGACCATGTCCCGGGTGATGAGCTGGATGGTCTCGGGCTTGTGGTCCAAGTCCAGGGCAGTGAGAGTTTTCTGAATGGTGTTCTTATCTCGAAGCAGCACAATGGGGCTGTCGCTCGGGCCCTGTGCCAGGGGCTGTGAGGTCAGAAAGGACACTTTAGAAGCTGGTCACCCCACTCCCTGCTAGTCAGTCCTAACTTCAAGTGTAGCCTTCCTCTCTCCTGGGGCCTCCACCCCATCCAGTGGCGGGGGATGCTGCTGGGACCCAGACTGCAGGGCCACTAAGAGCAGCCAGAACACTGAGAAAGCACTTGGCTGGATGTGTTCTGTACTGACCGGCTCTTCTAAGAACAAGGCCTCTGGTTTTTGTGCAGATATGCCTCGCAGGATGGTAGGGAAAGTGGAGAGGGAAGGAGATGGGAAGGGGTGACTAGTGTGTGTCTATAGCTAGTCCAAAGTCATCAGGAATGAGAAGTATATTTTTGGTCTCTAGGTTTTCCTTTCTGCATGAAAGATTCTCCTTTATGAAAGAAGAAACAATTCTCTCTCTGAGACCACACTGTGAATTTGAAGCAGTACAATTTGTTATAGACGAATACAATCTATGATGCTAGTAATTTTTAATCCTTTCCAATGATTAATTTACTTTGAACACCCAAAAAAGACATACTGAGGGAGTTAGAAATAGCCAAATGGCCTGGTAGAAACCTGCCCTTAAAATCTGATATGGTGAGGAAGTCACTGAGTTAGAATTCAGCAAAAAGAATGCAGATTAGATTACGAGTTTTTTCAACCCTCTCTGACTATGAAGGAGTTAGATAACAAGAAAATGAGATCGCTTTCTTCAGAAAATTGCTAAACACAAGCGAGAGTTGCTAGTGCGGTAACTGATCCCGACTGGAGGCAGGGGGTGGCCTGGCCTGGCACAGACAGTCTCCCGAGTGCTGCTGCCACCTGCTGCCCATCTCTGCTTCCAAGCGGGCACAGCACCATCATGGCACAGGCCACTTCTGCCCCCTACTGTCGGTTGGGAGACTTCCTGGATGGTCCCCCCAGCAATAAAGCCAAAGAAACTGAGCCAGAAGTGGGCATTTTTCTGATTGCTCCTTCTAGCTAGCTAGCATGACTAGTCCTGGAGAACTCAGCCATCTCCAAACCTCTCTTGGCCTTGACTAGAAAACTCCACATGGACCCCAAACAAGAAAATGTCAGTAAGTGAAATTACATTGCTTTGATTCTTTCCCTTAACAATAGAACTACTGCAGAGTGGGGGTCTTCTGAATGGAAAAAGATGCCCATCTTGATCCCACTGGAAAGTCCTCTTTGGTTCACAGTAAGAATGAGGAGGAGCAAGGATGGACCTCAACTCTCATCTCCCCAGCCTGCTCCGCTGCTAGGTGTTCAAACCACCACTGCTATCTCTCTTCTCCTTCTCTTTTCTCTGTCTCTTAATCTCTCACTACCCTTCTCTCCATGTCTCATTCTCTTTTTCTCCTTGCTTCACTTCTTTCTCACCTACTGAACTTCATGTGCACCAAAATTATTCAAAGCAATTCTCTAATTCTCCTTCTCTAGACTAAAGGAGTTGTCAACCTCTTAGGCTGGATGACACTTGCACATAAAGACCTGCTCATTTCCCAAAGCTCAATGATGGTTTGATTTGAGCAACTGGGAAAGGAGATGATTTTGTGTTGCACTCTGATGCTGTTCTCAGGTGGAAGGGTAAGGTGCTGCTCTGTGTCTGCAAGCTTGGCCCAGTGGCTCTCAAATGTTTTCATCATGGACCTCTCGCTGAGCAACTACTGAGCTCTCTGGCACTGAGCCTCCCCTTGACATTACAACAGATTTTAAATGCTGTAAAGACGTGAGGATTTCAAGGGTGCAGGAAGCCAGGTGCCCCTGTTTACACAGCCCTGCTGGATGTCAGAGCTCTGCAGCTCGGATCTCAGAACTCCCCTTTGTCTTTGGTCTGAGAGTTGCCTAAGAGCCAAGTGACCCAGGGCAAGCTTTGTCCTGTGCAACACTAGTCTGGGCCACTGCCTCTAGGTGGCATCTTCCTGCAGGGGCTTGTTGAGGCTTACCTTGATGCCTCCAAAGAGGCTTTCATCCACCTCAGAGCTCATGGCTTTGGTCCTATAGCGAGTTCTATTCCTTGACCTGTTGGAAGTGGTAGAAGAGGAGCTCAGGATGCCAGTTGTGCTTAGTGGCTGCAGGAAGAGGCAGAAAGTTTGGGCCATCAGTACTGAGTGGCATCCAGACCCTGAGCAGTAAACTCTTCTCCAGCCTGTGCTGTGCACATGTGGAGAACCCACTTAGAAAAAGCAACTAGGTGAACCTAGAAACATAGGGAGCAAAGATCAACAGACAGACAACATCTCCACAGAAGTGGGGG